TTGGAAGAGTCTAGTAACTAAAGAGTAACTGATGACTAAGCTACCATCTAAAACATATGATTTTGTTATTGGGTGCCATCAAGTCAACTACAATTCATAGCAATCCTGTAAAGAACAGCTCCGATGCCATCCTTGTGATCTCTGATATGCACCGGCCTCTGCATCAGTCCATCTTGTTAAGGATCTTCCTCTCTTTCTCTGAACTTCGACCTTTCCCAGCATGATAGCATTTTCCAAGAACTGATTATGCTTCCTCCAAGACAGACTTGTTTGTTCTTTTGGCAGTCCCCAGAACTTTAATTGTCCAGTTCATTGTTCAAGCCATTTTCACCATTTATCTACTCAGCCATCCACTGCTGAGAGTTTGTTTTAGAAAAGCTGAATGGAGTCACTAAAAGTTACTATCATGGAAAGGATTCACATGGAATCTTGTCTTCTCCTTTGCTCTGCAGGCTCAGCTCTTCATCTTTCTGTTATCTCCTTGGAGGATTGTGAACCTACATTCTCAGACAGATTTATAAATTACACACCTATTGCTTCTTCTCTTGCACACCCACATCAACTCTTTGGAAATTCTTTTATCTGGTAGGCGGCAGAGCTCTTTGCCACTGACTGTTTGTTTAAAGACTCTATCAGAGGGACATTCAAGCTGTTCAAATAAAGTGAGCAATAAGTCAAATATAAGACAACTAAATCCTTAGTTGGTACAGAACCCAGCAGTGTTTTGTACATAGAGCTGCTATGAACCACTTGGACAGCACCTAACAACAAGACATTTGCCATTTTTTTATTTTCATGTGCATGTGTTGTCTTTTTTTTATTTCCTCATAAAAAGCTATATATCTGTCAAGTGAACAAAAGAGAAAATAGCTGTACCATGCTCTCAAAAATCAGGCCCATGATCTTGGCACCATCCTTCACAGTTCTTTTATGATCCACATCCTACCCATCAGCAAATTCTGGGATCTTACTTCAGAATACGTTCAACGTCATCTTCATCTCTTGCCAATGCTAACCGCATAGCTGAAATGCCATGATCAATGCCAGCACTATTGTGATAGACTCACCAACTTGCCTGTCGCTCCAGTAGCCAATTCCTAACCCAGCTGCCACAGTGATTGTTTTTAACAGGGGCGACATCTGCTCCAAACCCACCAACAACTTCCCACCTTGCTTGGAACAAAATCCCCTGGTCTGGCACAGTCCTGCCCTGGCCCCTTCTTGATAGGCTTCAGCCACCGCCAGCCTCACACCCTGCTCTCTTTAAAATACTTTATGGCTGATAAATTATATACTTGATTTTTATGGGGGCAGGCTTATTGTCTATTTCACTACTCTGTACTAAAATGTAAATCCCAACGGGGGAGGGTCTTTGCTATTTCGTTTATTGTTGTATCCTCAGTAACTGGAACAGTATCTAACACAGTGTAGATAATCAATAGTGTTTGATAAATGCTGTGCAGTGAATGGCCACTAGGTCCCCTCCATGGATGGTTTTTAACTTAAGAGTTTGTTCCCTTCTTCCCAGCACCCTGGGCCGTTGTAGGCGAGTCAGGAACCTGGGAGACTTCCCCTGTTTCTGGTGGGAGTGATGCAGTTAATGAATGTTCTGAAGGAGAAAAAAATATTTACAAAATATGCAAATATTAACACGCATTTGTTTCCCCCATTTGTTTCTCCCTTTACCCCTTACCTCTTATATAAAGTGCATTCCGTGCATAAATCAAGATGATTAAGTGAGAATGAAACACACCTCAGATATGCAAATAAATTACAAGAATTCCTAATGACCAGGGAAATTCACTGAATTGTGTCTTATACAAAGATGCATGGCCTTATTAAGTAAAGACGTGCATAATAAAAGAACATATATACTAATTTCCTGAGTGCCTGAGAATCCTTGCCTGTCAGGATTGTTCTAATTTGAATGGTGTGGAGAGAAGGAAATGGAGAAAGAAGCTTAAAAAAAAAACCCAAACCCTAGTTATCCAGTAAGTTAACACATAAAGGCTATGCTGGGGTTCGGTCAATTCAGATTCAAACTCTGCCATTGCTCTCTGTGTGTGTGGGTTAGATGCTTTACCGAATCCCACAACAAAGACAGACTTGATTGTGCTCATTATTCTCTGCTGCCGAAGACGTTAGAAAAATTCCCATTAAATTATTAATGAATTACTCCTTTCCATGAACAGTAATTTAATCAAAGTCTTTGTACAGTATTTTTGAATTGCCATCCTCTGCCCCCTTTGATGGCAGCATTCAAAGAAGACATTGAGAACGGATGTTAGAATGATGGCATTTGTGAAGCCAGAGGAATCTGCAGACTTCATTTTGCAAAGAAATAAATGAGACTCAGAGAGGTTGGAAAGGGTCAGATTGAAAAGAATCTTTTTTTCTGCAGTGTCCCTGGGAGGGACCTTCATGATGTGCCCTGGCTTTGGATGGTGACAAGAGCAGCTGTAGAGAGGTGGCTGGACATAGAGGCCAGAGTGCTGGAGGTGCCATCAGGGACCTGGGTTGGAAGTGTGGCAGTTGTTACTAATTAACTGTAGCACTGGGCATGTTCTTTGCTGTACAGAAACTCTACTGCCTAATTTAAAAAATAGGATTCATAAGGCTTCAGACACCAGCTTGACACAAGGACTAAGGAGAAATGTCACTCTTTTAAAAACTATAATTTAGTATCTGCCCTAATGTATACCAGCATACAGTGCTGGGCATTTGCATTCATAATTTTATTTCCATTGGCAAAGTAATTGGTAAGAACATTGTCTTACAGATGAGGTAGGAGGCGTTGATGGTTCAGTGGTAAAATTCTCACCTCCCTTGTGAGAGACCTGGGTAGTCAGTCTGTCAGCTGGTGTGCTCTTGTGACAATGAATGGTTTTCAACAGTACTTCCAGATGAAGATGAACAGGGAAAAGACTTGGCAACCTATTTCTGAAAATCAGCCAATGAAAACCTCACATCCCACAACAGCTGGAGCCTATGTCAATCATGGGGATTGATGCAGGCCCAGGCAGTGTCTGTCACTGTGCATGTGGTCATCGTAAGAGATGGCCACTCAGATACAACTAACAACAACATCGTTGAAGTACCTGCGAAGCAGAGGAATGAAGAAACCTGCTACAGATCATTCAGATCATATAGATGAGGCACCACAGTAAGAGCCAGATCTGTGGGACTTGTACCGGCTCTAAGGAAATGGCAAACAAAAATAAGGCATCAGTTTATATTTTTCTGGTAAGTTTTGTGAAAGTCCTAAAAGCAGTAGCGACCATCTAAATAACCAGAGACCTTTGTACATAATAATGAAACAAGCAAAATGGTTGATATTTTTTTAAATTTTTTTTAAATGGTTGATATTTAAGTGTTGAGTTTTACTCATTCTGAAAACACTTCCTCAGCCCCATAAAGGCACTCTGCTAAGCACGGAGTCATTAACCTAATAGTTTTAAAGGATCAAAGTTGCATTTTCATGGGATGCATACATGCATATAATGTTTCTTACATAATTCATCTTGACAGTACATTTGTTCGTTTTATAGGATTTAAAATTTTTATAGAAGAGGGTTGTAATTTTTATGCACTGTACTTTGCTGTGATGATTTACTTTGGACCATACCTATAAAGATGCCAGATTTTTCTTTTTTTATTCCATGATAACATTGTTTTTGTAGGGTCATAATCTGTAATAACCCATTTTTAAATGTCTACATGAAAGCAGAGGGGAGAAGCCCAGAGCTGCTCTCCCACTCCTTGGTGAGGCTAGACTTGGTCAGTGAACAAGAAGTGTGGGGTTATTCTCTTGCCTTTTCATTTTAAATGATCCCAAGATTTCTGTGTTAACTCCTGAGTGCTGATGGGAGAAAGAAGAGACAGCAGGATATTTGCAATGTTTTAATATTTAGTATCTTCAAATTTGAATTAAAGGAAACGAAAACACACAAAGAATCACTTTTGTTTCCTAAGTACTGGATTCTAATAACAGCACAGATGCCAGTGACATGCCTTGAGTGTTACAGAGATAATGAAGTCTAATTGAGGAGCCATCGTCTCTTTAACTTCTTAAAGTGAATGAAACAGAAGTAATGAACCCTTTGCTGAAAGGCAGAGAAGTAGGATACAATCTGGGCTACAAAGGATTCTCTTGTCTAAAACATAGTTGCTTATTTACTCAAGATGTTTTTGTCTCTCTAGATATAAAAAAAAAATTTTTTTTCTTAACCACTGACTAGTTTTTCATTAATGCTGGAGGGAAATTTTTTTTAAAAAACAGGAACATACTCTTTAAAATTTTATCTTGGACGAATTTCTTGTGAAAAGATGCCCAGTTTTCATGAATTAAATCTACAAAGCCAGAGGAATAGCGTATTTGTGTTGCTTAGCTGGGGCATTTAAAAATATGGTCTGTTTGGCAGGTACTTTTAGAACAAGCTAATGGAGAGTTTGGTAGCCAATGTCAGATTATATGGTTTATGAATGAGTAATCCGATTCAGGTCTCTCTTTATTTTCATGAATTTCAGAAAGAGACCCATCCTCTTCAGACACCACATGACAACATCCTCCAGGAAGGATTCCATTCATGGCTTTCTCCTCACAACCTGGCTGACTTGTGCTAATTGTGCTAGATGTATCAGGAGCGCCCTCTTGAGGACATAGTCATTTAGGGAAGTGAAAAAAGTTAAAAGGGTTTTTTTGTTGGCTGCCAACTGAACTGCTTGCCGTCCATTCACTTCTGACTTGTGGTGGCTCCATGTGTGTCACAGTAGAACTATGCTCCAGAGTGATTATTTTTTCCTTAGATCACCAGATTTTTTCCAAGGTGCCTCTGGGTGGTCTTGAACCTTTGGGTTTTCTGCTGAGGGCTTTCACTCTGTTGCACCTTGGAATTCCTTGATTGACTACAAATTGTGTTACATTTCAATGCCAGAGGAAATGAATGGACTTTATGAGATTCCAAAACTGATTTAGTGTTTTTGTCCTTTTTGTCTTTCAGGTCAGCCATCATCCACCTATCTCTGCATGTCATGCTGAGTCTGGAAATTTTGTTTTCTGGCAAGGTAATATGCTGATATATTTGACCTCTGTTCTTTTTATAATGATAGATTTATTCCTAAATAACTATGCATGCTTACTAGATCAAAAATGATCCTTGGACTTGGGCCTTACTAAGAGTCTACTTGATTCTCTTACCTCATTCCTGCACCAAGTAGAGACTTTTCTCCTATTTCATGAGTAGCACGTGAGTTCACTTTCTTAATGTCCTCAGTCTCCATCTGGGCACCATCATTTAAGTTATACCTGAACAGCTTCCTCTGTTTTCCATCCACAGCATCTGTCTCGAGGCACCCTAGTCACTGCTGTTTATCTGTACCTGAAAGCAGAAGAATTTCTTGCTTTTGAACATGTCAAATTCAATTTTCCAATTCTGAGTTGTAAGAATTCTTTTTATACTCTAGACTTAAATTTCTTAGTAGATATAAGATTTGCAAATATTTTTCTCCCGTGACTTACCACTTTACCTTCTCACTGCTGATTATTTAAGGATAAAAACTTACCATTTTGATTAGGTCTGATATATATATATATATATCACACTTAGAAACTATTGCCTAATCCAGGGTTCTAAGATTCATGTTTGTATTTTCTCAAAAAAAGCTTTATTGTATTAAATGTTATATTTATCTCTTTGGTCTACTTTAAGGTAATTTTTAAATCTGTTAGGAGGGAGGCATTCCACTATATTCTTTCACCCATCAACATCCAGTTGTTTTAGCATTATTTATTCAAAAGATCATTTTTTCCCCACTGGAGGGTTATAAAAATCATTTTTATGATTTTTATTTGTTTGCTTGTTTTAATGGTAGTTTAGGTGTGATTATTTTTTTTATCTTTGAATTTTGTTTTTTAATAATTAAAACATTTTTTATTCATATACATTATATTTAACATATTCATTCACATTGTGTTTCATATGATCATTCCTGTATATTGCGTCTTATAAAATGAATCATCATTGGGTATAATTTTACAGTGTGTAAAGTTGATTTTTCATTCATTCACGTACATTTTATTTTATGGCATTAATGAATTAATTGGTATACCCACATTGCAACTAAAGTCTTCATACCTACACTGTAACCCAATTCTTTCTAAATTCTTCCCTGTGGTCTCCCTTCTGTTACTCATTCTGTCCCACCCCTTCCTGTCGTCTGAGGTTTCTCCATGAGCCAGTGCTGCCCTTTTGGTCTGTTATGGTTCATTATTCTAAGGGGTGACCATCCCCCAGTTGTTTTGGTCACCTTATAGGTTAATCTATTACCTGGCTGAAAGTTGAAACACAGGGTTTTTTTGTTTTTGTTCTTTCTATGTTTTTAAATTTTTTTTTTTTAATTGAGAAAAAAATCCACCTCACTCATATTTACCGATGTATTTGCTATTTTTGGTGCCATTCCTTTGGCTAGACCAACATTTTCAACTGCCATTAGTTTCCTTTTCCCACTGTAGTTGTTGTTATTGTATACCATCGAGTCAGAACCGACTCATAGCTGACCCTCCAGTGTGTTTTCAGAGGCAGTAAATCACGTGAGAGGAGAGTGATCATTTTTCTCCCACAGAGCAGCTGTTGGGTTCAAACTACATGCCTTTGAGTTAGCAAGGCAACAACTCTTTGCCACTAAGCCACCAAGTATAGGCTTCATTATTATTGTTTCATTAAAATATTATCTCTTAGCTTCTTTATGACTGTGTGTGTGTCTTTATTTTGCCTTCATTTTGACATATTTTATAACTGGACATAAAATTCTAAACTTATTTCCCACCCCCTCTTTAAATATATTGCCCCATTATCTTTTGACATTATTTCAGCTGTGATATTTGTCTGCATGTAATGTGTTTTTCTCTCTGTATTAGTTTTTAATTATTAGAGTAAAAATTTACAAAGCAAATTAGCTTTTATTTGACCATTCATACATATTTTGTGTTATAACATTAACACATTAACTACAGTACCCACAACATAATCATACTTTCCCACTTCTCTGTACTTCTAAAATTCTTCTGTACCGCCCCTTCCTGTCTTCTGCGATTTATCCTGAGGCAAACACTCTTTTAATCATACATGACTGGTTATTCTAAGTGCCCTCCTGCTGTTGCTAGTTACCTTAAAGGCTTATATATTGTTTGGCTGAAATTTGAGCCATAGAAGTGAGTTTTGTTCCAGGTTTAAAAAGTTGACTGAAGGCTCAGGGTTTCCACCAGTCTCTGTGAGACCAGTATGTCAGACCTATTTTATGCTTTTCCATTTTCTTATACATTTTTGCCCGACTCTGTCCAGAGTCTTCCACTATTACCCATTTTAGGGGGATCAGCAGTGCTAGCTGGGTACCCTCTAGTTTTTCTGATCACAGGGTCATGGAAGTTGAAGTTCAAATGTTCCAAATAGTTCTTTGGGTTAATTATTTCAACTTGTCTTTTTCTTCCTGCTTCTTTGTTCCTAAGAAAAGACCAATAGTTGCACCTTTGATAGCCACTCTCTTAAGCTTCCAAGACCCCAGTCACTTGTATCTTCCCAACCCCCACCCTCTGGATATGATTTCCTCTTCATTGCTGATTTTAAACAGCTAGATTATGATACAGCTTTCAGACTTTTTCTTTAAATGATTCTTATGACTAGAGTTTATTAAGTGTTTTGGGTCTGTGGGATTATTTTCATCAAATGTGGAAAATAAATTCATGAACATTATTTCTTGAAATACTTTTCTGCATTTCTCCTCTTCTTCCTGTTCCCCCACCCCCAGTTCTTTAGGAGATTCTAATGAAACTTGTATCAGGTCATTTGAAGTTCTTTCACAACTCACTGACACACTGTTTACTTTTTTACTCTAGATGTTTTAATTTGGATAATATCTATTGCTGTACCTTTATATCCACTAAAAACGTCTTTTGTAATCTACTATTAATCCCATCCAGTATATTTTCCATCTTAGACATATATTTTTTTTATTTCTAAAAGATAAATATGGGTCTTTCTAATACCTCCCATATCATCTTCCACTTTCCTCTACCTTTAAAAACATACAGACTTGATTTGTAGTCACTATTCTAACACCTTTTTCTATTAATTCCACCAGATGTGCCAGTTCTGGGCTTGTTTGTATGAATTTCTTGTCCTCCTCACCATGGATTGTGTTTCCTGCAAATGTGCGTGCTTGACCACTTTTTATTGGATGCTAGACACTGGGAAAATGCGTATCATTATATGTCGGAGGTTGTTTAATTCCTTCCTGAGTTCGTATTTGTGGCCTGGTTAAATTATGCAGTTATTTTATCCCTTTGGAAGTAGCTTATTTTTGGTTTTTTGTTGTTGTTGTTGGTTGGTGGTTTTTTGTGTTTTTTTTACCCATTGTGTATGGGTTTTTTTTATTATATTTTTTTTTATTTTTATTTTTGTGTGAGTGTACTGTTAAATCAGATCTGATGGGTACTGGAGGAGATTGTCCCTCCTTTCCCGGCAGAGCATCTGGTGGATTCGAACTGTGAGCCTCTGGGATTGTAGTTGCAGCTCCTTGCCACTAGGCTGGAAGTAGCTTGTTATTAGGTACTGTCAAGTTGGAGCCGCTTCGCAACAGCACTTTGCACAACAAAACAAAATGCTGCTTGACCCTGTGCCATCCTCACAACTGCTGCTAATTTGAGTCATTGTAGCTCCCTTGTTAATAAATTATGTGAAAGGTCTTCCCTCTTTTCAATGACCCTCTTACTTTACCCATTCTTGTTTTTGTTACATATCTTTGAGGTGGAACCAACCCATAGCTGATCCTCTGGTGGATTTTCAGAGGCTGTAAATGGCATGAGAAGAGATTGCCCATCTTTTTCCTATGGAACTGCTGGTGGATTTGAGCCACATATGTTTCAGTTGGCCCCTCAACTCCTCACACTAAGCCACCAGAGCTTCCTTTACCCATAGGTAAACGTTACCCATTGTTGTGTTATTATATGCTGTTGGGTTGCCTGTGACTTACAGCAACCCTATGTAGATTAGCTCTGAACCTTGCCCTCTCTTGAGCCAATCTCACTGTCTCCAGCAGACTTAATCCTTGCCCTACTACAGCAAAAACCTCATGTCCTCTTCAGTTTCAGCAAGCAAGGTTGTGTCATCTGTATAACATAGGTTGCTGATGAGTCTTCTCCAATCCTAAGCCACATTCCTCCTCATAAAGTCCAGCCTCCTGGATGATCTGTTCTGCATATAGATTGGAAAGGTTATGGAGATAGGATGGATCCGTGACACACATCTTTCCTGATCCTGAACCAAGCAGTGTTTCCTTGCTCTGTTCTGATGACTGCTTCCTGGTCCAAGTATAGGTTTCACAAGGGCACAAAAAAAATGTTCTGGGATTCCCATTCTTCTCAAAGTTAGCCACAATATGTTGTGATCCACACTGTCAACTGACTTTGCATACTCAATGAAACACAGATAGACATTCCTCTGGTACTCTCTGCTTCCATCCAAGATTCATGTAATATTGGCTTTGATGTCTCTAGTGCATGGCTGCTTATACACCCAGCCTGCACATCTGGCAGTTTTCTACTGATGTACTGTTCCCATTGTTACTGGAACTTTACTCATGTTGTTGTTCTTATGTGCCATCAAGTTGCCTGTGACTCATAGTGACTTGTTATACAAAACTCTGAACCTTGCTCTATCCTGAGCCAACCTTATTGTCTCTGACACACCTACCCCATTACCGCAGTCACTGAGTCAATACTTCTCATCAAGGGTCTTCCTCTCTTGCACTGTCCCTCCACCTTGCCAAACATGATGTCCCTCTCCAAAGAATGATCCCTCTTTGCATCATGCCCAAAGTATGTCAGACGGAGCTTCAGAATCCTTGCCTCCAAGGAGCAGCTTGGTTTCACCCTCTCCAGAATAAACCTGTTAATTCTCTTAGACATCCATGGTATAGTCAATACCCTTCTCTAGCACCACAGCTCAAAGGCATCAACTCTCCTTCTATCATCCCTAGTCATTATCCCATTCCCTGATGCTTAGTATATAATTGCAAAGCCCCTGGATCAGGTGCACCTTTGTCCCTAGACTGACATTGTTCTTCAGTATTCTGGAGATGTCCCTGACAGCAGACTTTTCCAATTCATCTTTTGATTTCCTGGCTGCTGATACCAAGAATATTGATTGTAGAGCCAATCAAACTAAAGTGGTTAACAATCTCAATCTCTTCACTGTCTATCATGATGCTATCAGTCAGACCAGTGGTGAGAATCTTTGTTTTCTTGATGTTAAGCGTCAATCCATATTTAAGGGTGCAGTCCTTGACCCTTTGCAGCAAGTGCTTCAGGTCCTCCTCAGTTTCAGCAGAGCAGGATTGTGTCAACCGCATAACCCAGATTGCTGATGAGTTTTTCTCCAATCCTGATGCCATATTCCTCCTCATAGAGCCCATCATCCCAGATGATCTGTTCCTTATATAGACTGAAAAGTATGGAGACAGGACACATCCCTGGTGTAGAGCCATCTAAATTGAATGGTCTTAATCAAGTGTTATTTTCACTCACACACACACACACACACACCCCTCCTGAGGCAATACCCTTTGGAAGAATCACCCCAAGCCCCAAATATTACCACCTTTCTTAACTCTGGTTGTTTGTTGTTGTTGTTGTTAGATGCCATTGAGTCAAATGTGACCTAGTGAACCACAGATATGATCTCTATCCTATCCTACACCATCCTCATCATCTCTCACGTACGTGAGCCCATTGCTGTAGTTGCTATGTCAGTCCATCTCATTGAGAGTCTTCATCTCCTTTGTTGACTCTCTACCTTTCCCAAGGAAAAGCCCTTTCCAACAACATGCCTAAAGCATATGAGACCAAGCACCACCCTCCTCGCCTCTAAGGAGCACTCTGACTGCGCTTCCCCCAAGACATACCTGTTTGTTCTTTGGAAGTCCGTGGGATATCCAGTGCTCTTCTCCAACACCACAGCTCAAAGACGTCAATTCTTCTGTCATCCTTCTTCATGGCCCAGCTCTCAGGTGCATAGCAAGTGATTGAAAACACCATGGCCTGAATCAGGAACACCTTAGTAACTCTGGCTGTAGAGGTCATTAAATATTCCCAGATCTCTGTGGGTTCTGAAGATTGTTCCACTTGATACTTTTGAAAGTTTTTCCCTGACCTTATGTGGTTTCCTCACACTGATCAGTGTATAACTGAAGACATGAGGGGAACCCTATGAAGATATTTAACTTTGCAGAAGCTGTTACCCCTCCAGTACTCGACTTTATGGATTTGAACTACTTTGATCTCCATTGATTTTTATCTCTCTCTTCAACTCAGGTTTATTCGTTTCTGCCTAGTTTCCAACTCTCCATGGTGAAAAAGCTTTCTTCTCTATGCTAGGGTTCACCTCATTGGTTTCTCTTCTCTCAGGAAACCACATTCTGTGTTGCCTCTTTTCCAATGATCAAAACACTGAATGTGTGTGTGAGAGTGTGTGTGTATGTGTTCATGTAATCTAGATTTTTGTTTCTAATTTCTTGTTTAAAGTGAGAAGATAGCTGCTTCCTTTTACTTCATCATGACCGAAAATGACGCTTCAACTCCTAAATCTTTTCTACTCTCACTTCTGCTGTCTTTCTTTTACTTATCCTCCTGTCTTTTTTTTACCAGAAAATTCTGCCTTCATCAATAGTTGGGCATCAGTCCCTTTCACTGCATCACTATTGCTATTGTCTTGGCTCCCTTCGGTCTCACTTATCCCTGGGCAATGACAATGGCCTTTTATCTTCTGGCATCTAGCGTTCCTAACTCCTGGTTCATTTTCCATGATTCTTCTTATTGTCTTTGTAAAATCTATATCTAATTGTGTAAGGTCCCTTATCAAGCAAATACTTTCTTTTCCCCAGTGCATACAATTGGTCTTTCTTAGCCAGGCTTGGAAAAACATTTCATGTATTCAGTCTGACTTTATTTTCTTCTCTCTCGACAATCTCAGACCTGCAGGACAGAAATATACCATATTCTCCTACACCTCTGTTCCCCTGAACAAATTATTTCTTCTGCCTTAATTGTTTTTCCCTCTGCCTGCTGGACTTCTGTCTGTTCTTCAAAGTTCCATTTAAATGGCTTCTTCTCATGAATCTTTTCTGACACCTTCACCTAGTACGTTGGTCAGTCCTTTCTGGTTCAGTTTCACCTTATGACATGCTTGGAGCCCTCCTGACCTGTCTGCAGGCATGATCTATTTTCATTTCTGTCTGCCTGTTATACTCTGAGTTCCTGTAAGGGAGAGATTTCATCTCATCATTCCAGTTTCTCTCATTCAGTTAATCTCACTTTTCAATTACTGAACATTTACAGCATAAAAATTTTTCCTAGAAGGAAGGGCAATCTCCTCCTGTGCCACTCAGATCTGACTCGACAGTGCACAACAAGAAAATACAAATCTGCCCTGTGAAAGAACTTATTTTATTATGTAAACCTTGTGCTATACGATGATTGGCCATTAATCCAGCTGAAGAACTATAGCTATTTTTCCAAATGTGTAATGTTTGACATTTTCCTTTTCAGATGTGAGATGGAAAAATAAATTCTGGGGTAAATCCATGGAAATTGTTCCAATTGGCACAACCCATGTGACTCTGCCAGCGTAAGTTTTCCCTCCATGGTTATTCCGGAACTTTATCGAATTTTGAGCTAAGATTCCCCTTTAGATACACAATGCCCACCTTCCCTCTGGCTTTGAGATTATATATGTTTGGGTTTGTTTGGTCTTTTTTATCTGTTTGGCAGAGTTTCAGATGTTCTTTACTTTGAAAATATTATATTTCCCTCAAATTGAAATGCCTACAACAGACCAAAGTTCCCTGAATAGAAAGTTTTAAAACTCATATGTCTACTTCCTGACAAAATGAAAACTGGTAGTTTCCATTTAACATTGTTATCCTGATTTACTATCCAGATATCATTTAAAGTGAGATGTGACTGTAATATTACAGCAATTATTGGTACTTCTTTATAAAGCAGGGCACTCTGGTGACCTAGTGATGAGAATTTGCACTGCCATCCCAAAGACAGGCAGTTCGAGTCCTCTGCTGGCTCCCTAGAAGAAAAATGGGCAGTCTCCTCCTGTGCAAGTTACAGCATCTGAAAACTCTGGAGGGTCAGCTGTGAGTTAGTTCTGACATGACAGCACGGAACAACAACTTTATAAAGGAAAACTACCATAGTATGGACTAGAATTTAATCACCTGGATTTGTATGCTAGCTCTTCCTTTTAATACTTGTAAATCCTTGGACATATTACCTAACCTTCCTGACCACCAATCCCCTCATCTGTAAATCCCCCTACTTTACAAGGCTGTTGTAAAGATTAAATAAGCAATATGCATAAAACTCAAGCCTCAATGTCACTGCCTTTGAGTCACTTTAAGCTCACACAGGCCCTTCATTGACTTGTCAAGGCTAGATATTTTAATGGAAGGAAAATACCATCTTTCTCTCTTGGCACTGCTAGTGGGTTAAACCACTGGAGACATCCAGCCTTTTTGGTTAGTGGCTGTGGACTATACCCCCAGCACTTCTAATACACATTGCTGTTGGTGTTGTGTAAATTGAGTCAGGACTAACCATAGCTGACCCTCTAGTGGGTTTTCAGAGGCAGCAAATCACCTGGGAGGAGACTGCCGATGCTTCTCCCATGGAGCAGCTGGTGGATTCCAACCATTTACCTTTATGTTGGCAGTGCATTTCCTTACCACTTAGCTGGAATATACATTAAGCATCCAAAATAGACTTGGCACATAGACTTAAGTTTATAGAGACAGATATAATTGTGAAAATTCCCATTATCTTCCTCGTCCACTGTCTTTTCATGGTTTAGTGACTTAGACAAGTCACCTCCTCTGGCTCTCGGCATCCTTTCTGGAAAAGAGGGAGTGGGGTTGTCCCAGGGAGCAGCCAGGCCTCTCCCAACTTCCAGGCCACAGAGCTGACTGTTGCCTCCTCTGGCCCTGCATGCTGAAGCTGAAACAGCATCCAGAGTGGTCGCTCCAATCCATCAGTGCTGGTTTCCTGAATGAAGGAGTGAGGCATTCATTGTGAGCTTTATTTTATAAAGCAGTGCTCTCATTTGAGTCATTGTCCCTTTTTCCCTTTTTGAGTTTTGGAGATCATTTCGAGTGGAACAAGGTGACCTCTTGCATCCATAACATCTTGAGCGGACAAAGGTGGATTGAGCACTATGGAGAGATAGTCATCAAGAATCTGAGCGACGATTCCTGCCACTGCAAAGTGAATTTTATCAAGGTAACCCAGGGGGCCCATGAGCTCTGACACCAGAAAGGTTTCAGGGCACCTTGGGGAGTTGTCACCTTCCACTTTGTGCCAGCTGTCAGTCACCACCAGGAGGCTCCCTGGTCCCAGCCCCACCCCTTCCACCTGGGCCACCCCTCTCACCTGGACCACCCCTCTCACCTGGACCACCCCTCTCACCTGGACCACCCCTCCCACCTGGACCACCCCTCCCACCTCGACTACCCCTCCCACCTGGACCACCCCTCCCACCTCAACTACCCCCCCCACCTAGACCGCCCATCTCATTCAGACCACCCCTCCCACCCGAACCACCCCTCTGGACCACTCCTCTCACTCCTCTGTCATGGACATTTCCCCTTGCTGACATCTCCAATTTCACAATCACTCCCAAGATCTGGAATGCCCTGGAAGCAACCAGAGTGATCTTCTTAAAACGTTAGTCATGCCATAGCATTTCTTTGACCAAAATACTCCAAATGAAAGTTAGTGCCCTCACAGTGGTCAGGTGGTCCCTGGCCCTGCTCCCCACCTGCAGTTCCCTTGATGTTTTTCACCAGTCTTGGCCTAGGAAAGCTGAATCACCAGAACATGGCCTGAAAATGCCACTCAGCTTTACTGGTTTCCAAATATGGATTCTCTTTGAGCTCAGAATAGTACTAGATTTTTTGATTTATGGCAAAATGCCTTCTCTTCTTTCATAACGTTTTTATTTTAGGAGACAGCCAAATAATTGAGAGTTGGGAAAATTTCAACTCTAGGGAGTTAGAGCTCCCTCTGCTGGCTCTGGCGAGGCACTGTATAAAACCGACAAGTCTGCCTTTCAGACTGACCAAAAAGCATAGTGTGACTATGTCACACAAGTTTCCTGTGGCTTGAATGAACAGATGCCGGGAACAAATAGAAGAAAGTGAAAGTTGAGCAAGCATCTTTATTTGTTTTTGTCTAATTCCTTTAGAGGAAGAATTATAGGAGTTGTGTTTCTTTTCATTTGCTGATAGAGCCACAGTGACAGTCCTTTTTGAAGACCTGTAAAGGCCAACCACACTGCTTGAAAACAGTCTAAGAGCAGAACTGAGCCTTTCTTTGTTATGTGTGCAAGTCAGAGTGTTGTTATGTGCCATTAAGTCAGAACCAACTCATAACTGACCCTGCAGCAGATTTCCAGAGGCTATAAACCGCATACGGGATTGGCCATCTTCTCCACGCAGCAGCTGGTGGATTTGAACTGCATGCCTTTAGATTGGCACCACAGATCCTTTCCCACTAGGTCGCAAGAGCTCCCTCATTGAACACACAGAGGACATAAAAAAGGGTGTCCTGTGTAAGTGCTGCTTATTCCATTAAAAACTGCAAGTAGAGGGTTATCTATTAATATTTATTAAACAGCCAAAGGTTTAAAAACCAGAGTCCAGAACTGACAAAGTCTCTGCAGTGATGCAGTGTGGAAATAGTCTTATGGTGCCCTCATCCAGTATGTGTCTGTCTGTCTGTCTGTCTCTCTCTCTCTCTCTCTCTCTCTCTTAATCTCTTAAATAAGTTGACCACAAAGTACTAAACAGAAAATTCTTGTTTGAATTTTAGGCAAAATACTGGAGCACTAACGCCCATGAGATTGAAGGCACAGTATTCGACAGGAGCGGGAAAGCCGTGCACCGACTGTTTGGGAAATGGCACGAAAGCATCTACTGTGGTGGCGCCTCCTCCTCCACCTGTATCTGGAGAGCAAGTTAGTGTCTTAAGTTCATGTGCCCAGTCAAAGTGTGGGTGGGATGGGCACAGCAGGAGGGGTCAATGGGATGGAGATGGGTGTCCGTTCAGCTTCTCCAGTCTCTACCTGCTGTGAGCTGTGCTGGAGGCATCAAGCATCACTGCATTCATCTAATCATATCTCACATTCATCACCAGGCTTCTCAACAATGCCTTCTGCTCAATCCTGGGACCTTAATTCTAGCATGAAGTCAAAGCCAATCTCAGATTGTCTCTGAGGGAATCTCCCAGACACCATACTCATTAGACATGAGCTCTGGGCCTAAATAGAGCACTGAGAAGTAATGCCGGTGACAAAGAAAGCATTTCATAGTAATAACGGAAATAAAAAGTGTTATTGGAAAGGCAGAGTGACTTAGGATTTATCCAAGAGTTAGGGATCCGCAGATTCACCCAGCACTCCTATGATTCCAGAGCAGCAGGGTGAAGGGCTAGGGAACACAGGCTTTGTCAGCTTGTCTTCACAGCACTTAGAAACTGTAGACCAGCTCCTGATCTGATAAATACGGGGTTTTCTAGCCATAGTCCTATTACAAGATCATTGTTTTGAAACGCATCTCTTGGGAAGCTTAAGGCAGATTTTTTAAAAAGAAAGAAAATCATTGTATAAGGGCTTTAAATAAACCCTTAGGTTGTGTGCTATTAACAGTAAAAGAGCAAGTAGGTGGCCCCTGTGTAGTTTAGAAAAACGTCTCTGTCAAGGACATAGATGACTGACAACATATCCATCCTGTCTTCCCAGTGTGCTGATGGTGTTTCTCTTTAAGTTATAAAAGATTAACTTTCAATACTGTATCCCCACAAGGTTCAATACCCCAAACATGGAAGAGCTACTTTTACCCGGAATCCCTCAGCAAACATATTCTTACATCTCATTAGCCTCACCTGATTCAACAACCGATTCCTGAAGGAAGAGGCGGCTTTAGAGAGATTCAGATTGACCTAGCTTCATCTTTCAGGAGGCACCACACGGCCTGAATAGACATAATATAGAGAAGGCATCCAGCATTGTTTCTGACCATAAGTACCAACCACATCTTCCATCATTCTCTCAGAAGCTAAAATGCAGTAGTGACAGTGGCCCTCCTGGCTTCAGAAGTTCAGAGACACATGTGAGCATTTTTCAGATACACTGCTGTGGTTTGAACTGTGTTCCCTACATTGTGCGTTAGAGTTAGGTGCCTTGGTGGCATACAGAGTAACGTGTTGAGCAGCTAACTGAAAGGCTGGCAGTTACAGCTGCTCGACTCCACCAGCTGCTCCTGAGGGGAAGAGGGGCAGTCTTCTCCTGCAAAGAGGCACAGCCTCAGAAACCCAAGGGAGGGTTGCGGTGAATTACAGTCAAGGCCGTGACAGTGAGTATATTTGTAGATATAATCCAGTTCTGGAATAAAGTTTTTATTATATGAATTAGGTCATGCCCAAGTGGACAAGTTCTAAATCCCATCACTTCTGTGTTAGAAAACTCGCAGATTAGGCACAGAGACAGACACGTGGGGGTGGGCAGAAGATTATCTGCACTGATGTGAGGATCTCCTGCAAGCCAGGTAACCAAGGAAGGACCAGGACTATAGACAAGGAAGGAAGGAACATGGTCGAGATCCTGGCTTGGACTTCCAGGCTGTAGAACTGTATGAAAATACGTCTGTTTCTTAAAGCCACACACTTGGGATAGCTTATGTCTTAGCCAAGGCGCATGCTCTTCCCTTGGTTTAAACGAGATGTCAGAGCTGAGAACTACCATCCTAAGTGGAATGTTAATGTAGTACCTACATGAAGGAATCCTGTTTAAGTTGTTGGTCATCTGCTTTACTGACTTTATGTCTATTCTTAGCCATGGGCATTTTCTGGTCTATCTTATAGAAAAGTCACCTTCTTTGTGAGTGTCATACTGTGGTTGTAACTTATTACCATGAACTCAGTGGGTTATAAACAACAGTAATATACTATTTACAATGCTGGAAGTCAAAAGCCCTAAGTTCAACATTTTGGCAGGACTTTATTCCTTCTAGAGGCTGAAGAGGAGAGTTCATTCTTGCCTTTTCTAGCTCCTAGAGGCTGTCTTCATCCCTTTGCCTATGGTCTCATCTTCTCTCTTCAAAGTCAATGGAATGTCCTATCCACTCTGCTTTTTCTCTCTGACCCTTTAAAGGCCTTTGAGATTATTTTGGCCCCATCTGAGTAATCCAAGAAAATCTCCCCAGCCCAAGATCCTTAACATAATCACATTGATAGACTCGGTTTTTTTGCCATACAAGGTTATCTATTCAGAAATGCCAAGACCCATAGGCATTTGTGGAAGGCCATTATTTTGTCTACCAGATTTCACTCTCTTGGTTGCTAAGGGAGGGGCAGGCACAGGTTTTAAAATGCATTTTGTTGTTGTTGTGCCATCGAGTCACCCGGGACTCATAGCAACCCTATGTACAACAGCTCTAAACCCTGCCCTGTCCTGTGCCAATCTCACTGTCTCTGAGAGACTAAAACCAAGGACTATAAGTCTCATTAGAGAAAAACTTGGAAGAACCCTAGAAGCCCTAATCCACAACATAAACAGTCTTCTAAGCATCCTGAAAAACCTGCAACTAGGAAAGGATAAAATAGACGGAGACCTTCTAAGAATCAAATCCCTATGCACATCCAAAAACCTCCTCCAACAGAGGGGAAGACACAGACTGGGAAAAAATACTTGGTAATGGCATGTCAGATAAGGGGCTTATATCTAGAATTTATAAAGTACTCAAGCACCACAACAAGATAAAGGTAAACAACCCAATTGAAAAATGGGCACAGGATATAAACAGACACTTCACCAAAGAAGACATTCAGATGGCCAACAAGCACATGAAGAAATGTTCAAAGTCCCTAGCTCTAAGAGAGATGGAAATCAAAATAACTATAAGATATCACCTTACCCCGGTAAGAATAGCAAAATTTAATAGAATAGCAAACAACAAATGCTGGCGAGGTTGCAGAGAAACTGAAACCCTTATCCACTGTTGGTGGGAGTGTAAAATGGTGCAACCACTATGGAAGGTAGTATGGCGCTTTCTCAAAAAGCTGCAAATAGAAATAGCATTTGACCCAGCAATTCCATTACTGGAAATATACCCTAAACAAACCATAACTGCCACCCAGGTAGATTTATGCACACCCATGTTTATTGCAGCTTTGTTCACAATAGCAAAGAGCTGGAAACAACCCAGGTGCCCATCAACAAATGAATGGGTAGAGAAGCTCTGGTATATTCACACAATGGAATACTATGCTGCATTGAAAAACAAGGAACTCAGGAAATACTATGCAAAATGGATGACCCTGCAGAGCATTATGCTGAGTGAAATATCTTAGTCACAAAAAGACAAATACAGCATAATGCCACTGATATAAAACAGGACTGACATAAGGTCTGGGGGCGGGGGGGAAACTAAGAAAAGAGGGCTAAATCTACATGGCATTGAAACAGACGAGGCAGAGAATTGTATAAAAGGAATGTATTATTAAGTATTATTAGCATGACAAAAGTCCAGAATAAGAGCTGCATAGTAAAGTGGTCTGGCAGGGAGGAGAGGGGGGGACACATGTATAACAATGAAAGAACTTTCTTCCCAAAGAAAAAAGCGATCTAGAGGGGCGGGGGGGGGGGGAAGCAGGGAGGAAAATGTGCAACAACAAACACTGAAATCTCAAGGGTTAACACTGAGCTATATTTTGCATGATACCTGGAAATACAATATGCAAAAAAAAAACATGAGAGAAAGCTGTTCTGTAAACTTTCATGCCTAAGATATAAGAAAGTCAAGACTAGTTAGAACAAGCACTTCTGAATCTCCCCACTCAATCCCACCCCAACAAATGGGTCTAGAGAAAAGCATGGTTGTTTGTATGTGTGACTAACAAAGGTGCTGTCTAGATTGATTTTATTCAGTAGGTAATTATATTCTTTTTAGCTGCCCTTCAAGGTAAGACTATGCTCCTGGTAATTCTAAACTTGAATGTGTAGATCTGGAAAGGGGTTAAAAAGTTATTAAAAAGGAGGAGAGAAATGGAAGAGAATTCATATTTATTGGCCGTTCTGCTATGACTTTAGCATTGTTTTAGGTACTTGGCAGTTTTGGGAGAGTTTCAAACTAAAAAATAGATTCTCTAAAGAGATAGAGTCTAGTTAGTCAAGAAAAACCCAATGCTTAAAAACAAATTTTATTAAGCTCTTTTATAATAGTGTGAATTTTTTATAAAGAATGAAAATTCACAGCATTGCATAAATTTGATGTATGTCCCAGACAAAGCGAGCCTTATCCCTGTGGATACAAATAATTGTAAAGAAAAAGATTTATAAAGAAATATTCAACACCTATTTGCTTAGCCAGAATATTTTAATGAAATTGGAACCATTAAAGAATTGAGAGGAAAAAGAGAAAAGAACAACTCTAGCTGGCCAGAGATGAAAAACTCAAATTAAAATGTAACATAAATGAAATGCAAGTTAGGAATGATTTTTTTTTTAATTCTTAGATCCCATGCCCAAAGGCTATGAGCAATATTATGGCTTCACACAGTTTGCACTAGAATTAAATGAAGTGGATCCATTGTCAAAGTCTTTATTACCACCTACTGACACTCGATTTAGACCAGACCAAAGGTAAGATTTTCTTCTAAGGTCTTTCTCACCAGAAAAACTCTTATTATTACATTTTGTATTATTACAAAAACTCTTTTATTAGCAGCTCCCAGACCACCAGGTACCTGAGGGAGGGAGACCAGGGCGTCAGGAGTAGCTACAGAGAGTCTTTTCACCACGTGATGGGAAGAAACAGAACCTGGGTTAGGTTTTGGAGTGGCATAGCCTTCATTTATTGTGGAGGCTCATTTCTAATAAAATGCCCCAAAATGTGTTCACCTTTTTTTGAACTTACCTTCTTATGTATTTGAAAGTGCAAGAAGCACCCAGCACCCTCCCCTAGTCCTAAATTCAAGTCTTCTTGATACAGTGAAATCTAACTTCTGATCCTAAGTTTGCTCCTGAAGAGCTGGAGCTGTGGCACATCTAATTAAGCTTTTCATCTTCCTCTGCCTCAGCGTCTGTTTTCTACTCTGAAAAGAAGAAACTACTTTTTCTCCCCTAAATCCTTTCTAAAGGAGCTCAGATGGCCTGGTGGTAAAGAGCTGCACTGCCAACCCAAAGGAACATGGTTCAAATCTACCAGCTGCTCCAAAGGAGAAAGATGGATAATCTCCTGTTGTGCAATGTATTGCCTCTGAAAACCTGCTAATGTCCAGCTGTGTGTTGGTTCTGACTCGATAGTATGCAATACCAGCAACACACGAATCCTTTCTAAAGCACTCTGAGGGGTAGTCTGTAGCGTGTTGCACTGCTAACCGTAAGGTGTTGTCTCTTGTGATCCTAACCCACTAGCCAATCTGCAGGAGAGAGGGAGATGCCTTCTCGTCCTGTTGGAGAGTTACAGCCTTGGAAACACAATGAAGGGTCACTGAGTCTGAGTCCACTCAAGGTGGTGGCAAATCCTTTCAAATTAAGACTCAAAAACGAAAGACTGATAATATTGGCTTTTTTTAAAAAAAAAGAAAATCATTGTTCAGGGGAAGAAATAAATAAAGACATATAATCAAAGTCAAATGGCAGACAGAGAAATTATATTTTATTTTCATACTGTACCAGAAGTCCAGGCTGGTTTCAGAAGGGGTCGTGGTACTAGAGATATTGTAGCTGATGTTAGATGGATCTTGGCTGAAAGCAGGGAATACCAGAGGAATGTCTATCTTTGTTTCATTGATTATGCAAAGATATTTGACTGTGTAGATCATAACAAACTGTGGCTGACTCTGAGAAGAATGGGAATCCCAGAACACTTGATCGTTCTAATGCTAAACTTATACTTGGACGAGGAGGCAGTCATCAGAACACAGCAAGGGAACACTGCATGGTTCAAAATTGGGAAGGGTGTACGCCAGGGATGCATCCTATCTCCATACCTTTTCAACCTATATGCAGAACAGATTATCCGGGAGGCGGGGCTCTATGAGGAGAAATGTGGGGTCAAGATTAGTGGACGATTTATAAACAATCTGCATTATGCGGATGACACAACCCTGCTTGCTGAAACTGAAGAGGACCTGAAGTGCTTGCTGCAGAGGGTCAAGGACTGCAGCCGACAATATGGATTGAGGCTCAATGTCAAGAAGACAAAGATTCTCACCACTGCACCAATTGGCAGCATCAGGATGGATGGTGAAGAGATTGAGATTGTACACAGCTTTAGTTTGCTTGGCTCTACAGTCAACAGTCTTGGCACCAGCAGCCAGGAAATTAAAAGGCGCATTGCCATGGGAAAGTCTGCTGTTAGGGACCTCTCCAAAGTGCTGAAGAGCAATGGTATCTCTTTGGAGACTAAGGTGCGTCTGATACAGGCCATGGTCTTCGCAATCACCTGTTATGCATCAGAGAGTTGGACAGTGACCAAGGAGGATAGAAGGAGAATTGATGCCTTTGAGCTGTGGTGCTGGAGAAGAGTATTGAGAATACCATGGACTGCTAGGAAAACAAACAGATTTGTCCTGGAAAGGGTTAAACCGGGTGGCTCCTTGGAGGCAAGGATTCTGAGGCTCCGTCTAACATACTTTGGACATGTTGTGAGGAGAGACTGGTCCTTGGAGAGGGACATCATGCTTGGGAGGGTGGAGGGACAGCGCAGGAGAGGAGGGCCCTCTATGAGGTGGATTGATTCAGTGACTGGGATAATTGGAATGGGAGTGTCAGAGACAGTGCGATTGGCACAGGACAGAGTGGAGTTTAGGGCTGTTGTACATAGGGTCGCTATGAGTCGCAGGCGACTCGACGGCACATAACAACAACAACAACAACAACTGTGAATTGTTCTAGAAATCAAGAACAGTCAAACCAACCCAAAGAGAAATACAGGGAGAACAACAGACACTTCACAAAATAGGAAATACAGATAGCCCTTAAGTACATGAAAAAGTACAAGTTTTTTAAATGACATTGACATACCATTTTTTTAAGATAAAGAAAACCCCCAATATACCATTATTAGAATGGAATGTCCATAGAAGGAACAGTCTCACCCTCCTTAGGGGGAGAGTGATGGAGGAGCGAGAAACATGCCATTTTTTAACTTAACCAAATTGGCAAAGATTTCGCATACTAGGCTGAGAGGGAAATAGAAATTCATTGCAGTGCTGATGGAAATGTAAATTACTGTAATCCCAACAATGGGTATTTTGGTATAGACAAATCATAATTTCTCATACCTTTTAACTTAGGAAATTACACTATTAGAAATTTCCCCTTCAGATATGCCTGCCTATTTGCAAGATGGCAGATATACAGGGCTCTTCATTGCGGCATTAAATGCAACATAAAAATAAATAAATAAAGCAAAACCTAAAAATTGAAGACAACCCAAAAGTCTGTCATAGGGAATTATTTAAATAAGATGTAGCCATACACTAGAACATTACACAGGTGTTGAAAAAGGTGACATGGAGAGAGCAGAGCTCTGGTGGTATAGTCTGTAGGGAATCGTGCTGTTAACCCAAAGGTGACACTTCTCTGGCAGTTCAAATCCACTGTCAATTCCACGGGAGAAAGGTGAACAATCTCCTTCCATGCGATTTACAGCCTCTGAAAACCCACTGGAGAGTCAGCTATGAGTCAGTTCCAACTGGACAGCAATGAGAGGGTTTTTTAATGCATGTATAATTATTACTACAAAAATGCACAAGGAACTAATAACGGGGTCACGTGGTGAAGGAGGGTAAAAGGGAGTAGAATGGGAAAAATGAGTGGAATTAGAAAGAGTGAGAAGAAATTTATCTCAAATTTCTTTTTATAGATATAATTTTCTATTATCGTGAATATATCACCATTTTAAAATACTGTCTTTCCTAACTACCTCAAAATAACTGTTATAAGGGTTGAGAAGAGGTCCTATTATTTTAGGATCTAGTGTTAGATAGATACAAACTTAATAGTAATTCCACTGTATTTTCTTGGAATTGGTATCCATTTCTTTTCTCCCTCAATGCGTCAGGTTTCTAGAAGAAGGAAACATAGAAGAAGCTGAGATGCAAAAGCAAAGGATTGAGCAGCTGCAGAGAGAAAGGCGGCGGGTGTTAGAAGAAAATAACTTGGAGCACCAGCCTCGGTTTTTCAGGTGAGTGCACGGATGTGGATGTGTGGGTTGTTAGCTGACCACACTTGCTTCTGGTTTAAAGAGTGAGCCCTTGTGTCGTCCATGGATGAGAGCATTCTCCTGCCTCAAAGTGGTGGAACCTCCTGGCTGTTGTGGGATCTGAATGTTTGGGGACATTTGCCTTTGAGCTCACCCTTCCCTGTGTTCTCAGGCAGGAATGGCACCTGTTTGAGGGTTCCCTTTCTCCCACCTGCCCCACAAGCCTCACCCTGTGAGTGTGCAGAGGAGGTACTCAGTCAATATTTGGGGTAGAGACACCCCGAATCAGGCTCCCAGTGCCAAGCCAGTGTATTCAATCTGCTTTCAAAGTTTGCCAGCCGTAGTTTGTTTTGGCTTTATAGAGAAGTGTCTGTTATGTAGATGGACTCATTTAAACACTTCTTTTTTAAATGGATGGGGAATTGTGATGACAACCCATGCTTCTGAGAGTGAGAAAGCAGGCACTCTCAACTTGTGTTAAAAGTGCTCATAAAAGAATGACCCAGAATTTCTACTTATAAGAATTTTTTTTTCTACTTATAAGAATTTTTTATGTAAACACACTGCCACACTTAGAAAGCAGCTTGTGCTTCATTTAGAATAGCTAAAGATTGAAAACCATCTTAGGAGCATCTAGAGACTCTCTGGTAGGTAAATTGTGTGGATCATCTACACACTGAAATATCGTGCAACTATTTAAAAAGAAAATGAAGAATCCTTTATTGCTGAAGTCGCATATTAATTTTTCCCCCTTTTTAAATTTTATACTGGTTTATTTACCAAGTTTGAATACATTGTTTTACACATTGGATCCTTCTCATTTCCTTCACCACCCCCACCACAGTAAATATTTTTCTCTTTACAGATTCTCTCTGTAACAATTACTCAAACCACTGTCAATCATGAAGACTTGCACTAGATTTTAATGGCCAGTTGTCATGACTATGTTGTAATAAAGCATTATTACAAAAATAGACAGAAGGGTCAGTTTGGCCCATGGAACCATTAGATGATTACTGCTGCCTAACTTATTAATGGGAGATTTCCCATATCTATTGTTAATATGAAAAAGTCCAGTATAGAAACCTCCTTTCTGCGTTACTGTTGTGTAAAAAGTGGGAGAGGGAGGGAACTCTGGTGGCCTTGTGACAAGAAGCTGTGCTGTATTCCCAAAGGTGCACGGTTCAAATCCACCAGATGCTCTGCTGAAGAATGGGCAGTCTCCTCCTGTGCCAGTTGGATCTGACTCAACGACACACAACAACAAAAATGAAATAAGATAAAGTGTTACTAAAAAAAAAAAAGTGAGGGGGTAGATTCTGTGCATACATGGGTATGTTAAATTTCTCTGAAAGAACAAAACAGATAGTGCCATGGTTTCTGAGTAGAAGAAATAGGCTGGGAGAAGGGTAGGAAGAAGACCTTTAATCTTTGTAATATATGATCTGTTCAAAAAACAGTGAACCAAGGCTATTTTATCCAGAATGTTATGGCTTCCAATTTCCTTGTTCCAGGCTAACTTAAGTCTTCACCGGAAAGGCCTGGTTGATTTGTAGCTACATAGCGACAGCCAGGGTGGGGACTATCATCCTGTCATTTTTTATGTACAAACAACCACTTCTTCACCCCATGTTCTTCTCAGAAGCACCACTTACACGGTCCCTTATGTTTGAAATGAGATCTGGGCAGTGCAGATGCTTACTACACTGCATAAGTATACTTGCTACACTGAGCTGCTAACTTAAAGTTTGGAGATTCAGGTCCACCCAGAGGCACCTCAGAAGCAAGGCCTAGTTATCTACTTCTTAAAAGACAGTCACTGAAAATCCTATGGAGCATGAGCCTATTCTAGCACCCATGGGATCACCATTAATCAGAACTGATTCAATGAAACTGTTTTTGCTTGGTTTAGGTTTGAAAAGTTAAATAAAACTCACTCTCTGACTGCTGTCTAGTCTGAACTCACAGCTGACCCTCCAGTGGGTTTTAGAGGTTGTAAGTAACCCAGGAGGAGACTGCCCATCTGTCTCTTGCAGAGCAGCTGTTAGATTTGAACCTCTTGTCTTTGGGTTAGAAGCTCAACTCCCTACCACTAGGACACCAGAGTAAATAAAACTGGAAGTAGTAAAAACAGTTTTCTGCCTTCCACTTTCCTCCTTGTCCTGCTGAACCATCAGGGACGTTGGACACATGTGAGAATGATGGCCTTGGAATGAGGGAATAAAGAGGGAGAGAAAAAGGAAAAGAATGATGTCATTGGCAAATGTGTCCTCCCCCCCCCCAAAAAAAAGAAAGAGAATATATTTTCCAGAGTCTTTAAGAAAAGTGTTTGTTTGACAGGAAATCCGATGATGACTCTTGGGTGAGCAACGGCACATATCTGCAACTTAGAAAAGATCTTGGCTTTTCCAAACTGGACCATCCTGTCTTGTGGTGAAAGAAGAAAGATGTGTCTTTGTATTGCTCTCAAATTTGCTGTCTGAAGCAGCAGCACAAATCTGTGTCAATATATTTAAAAGATTCTATCTAGAATGTTCAATTGTGCTTATTCTATTGTTGTAAGTATTTAAGTATCTATTTTCTTCCATGGGTTTCTTTACAATTTCAGATGTTATCAAGATTGTTTATATGAATGTAGAACACCTTGGTATTTCTTTTTATATAAACTATTTAATAAAAATGAAAGATTGAATGTTAATGTGTGGGTTAAAAAAAGAAGCTTTAACACTAATTTTCCAAAGCTTAGGGAAAATTCAAATTAAATTTATGCCTTATAGAATTATGTTGGATGGGGAGAAAAATTCAGTCTCTCCCAGATACATTAAGAAATCAGAAAAATACCCAGGCTTACTCACCCATGCATTAGCTACTCTAATTTGGTAGCGCAGCTATCTTTTTGCCTCAGACAGCTCTTGAATTGCTCACACAGAACAATTCTGCTGGTGCTGGAGTCTGAAAAATCTTTCTATTTGCATTTTTGTGGTTGAGAAATGGTCAAGGATTAATGGAACATGTTTTTCAAGAAAGTGGATATAGCGCTTTCTTAAAGAGGACACATTTGCACTCATAGTTCTGTTGCCTTATGTGTAAAAGTGTGTAGCCTGTTGCCCTATTAAATGCCATAATGGCATCCCTGAAAGGCAATGGGAAAACTACATTTAGTGTGAGCTGAACCCATGACGGGTGAAGAAATGATTTCCTGCTCCCCTTCCTGGGAGAGGCTGCATCTCTGTTGAGTGTGGTGTGTCCCGGGTTAATGTAGGGCAGACACTGCATTCCACATGGCATTTGACTTTCTAAAAAGGTTAGTGAAATGACTGATTGTTTAAAAAACTGAACATGTCTTTCTGAACTACTGTTTTGGTATTTTCTACCTCTTAAATAAGTACCATATTTTAGATCTTGTATAAAAAGTTTGACCATCTGCCTTATAGACACGTAGACAATTGATGTTCTTCCTCTGTACGGTTTGTGTTCTGTTAAAGCTCTGTCTTCTTAACAATCCTACATGTGTTCATATCACTCTTATGAGTTTTGCAGCAGTCTCAAATAATAGAAATAAAACTACTCAGAGGGGATATTTTGTCTCTTTAAATGTGTTACTTCAAATTCTAGTAATATCATTTGTGCAACAGTTGAATTGTGTTATCAGTTCCATTCCAGATGACGTCAAAACCAAAGCCTAATTTTTAAGCCTTCTATTCTTTGTCAATAACAAATCTACGGAACATAAAGTATAATGATATGCTTAGAAGGTTTCTCCAGGAAAATTCTCCTCAGCTATTTACACAGTCTCAGCACATGTGGGATGCTGTACATGAAAAGTAGAACAAACAGCAGAAAAAAGCGTTCATGATTTCTCAATGTCACCCGGATAACCCATCGACCGTGCCACATTTTTTAAAAAATGGAGAATTATTTTAAGTGGATCTTTTAGAATCTGCACGTGACTGGCATTTTAAAACATTAAGTGACTGGTCAAATATTAGATCCACTTATTCCATTTTATCTAGACATCAAGATGAATACAATGTGCATATCATTTTCATTTCTAAGCCGTTAAATGATATAAGCTCATGCTTTGTCATATTCTTTGTTCTTTCTTTTAAAGCCTCCATCCAAATTCTGCTCACAGACGTGAGGAAGCTGGCTGTAGATTTAAGGGTACTCAAGGGGAAAACAAATCTAGTTTTCACAGCATGAGGAGGGTAAGTGTAGAATTTTAGTAATATTGGCTATCAAATAGGCATACTCCAGAGGCTGGTTCAAAAAGGGAAAACAACAACAAGAAAACCCACAGCCTAAATGGATGGAGCTCTGTCCTGCAGCGCTTGCAAACTCTTTCATTGTCCTCACATTATTATTTCAGTTGCTACAGTGCTTTCTTCTGGAATTAGAGAACAGTAACAAATATCACAATGATGATAATTTTAGTTAAGATAGGGATGGAGTTGTAAGAAGATACATGCGGATCTGAAAACCTACTAGTCAATCTTTCTCATTGATATCCAGTCAGAACCTATTCACAGCTAAGCCTCCAGTGGGTTTTTAGAAGCTGGAAGAGTAGAGATTGCCCATCTCTCTTCCACAGAGCAGCAGGTGTATTTGAACTGCCAGAGAGGTGCCACCTTTGAGTCAGCAGCACGACTCCCCTACAGATTACCCCACCAAAGCTCCCTACTAGTTAATATCACAGTCATAAAGAGGTTTTCTGAAATTTCAACAATTTGGTAATATGCCAATCGTGGTAATGGGTACCCATGGTGGCCAGTGTTGGCTGGAACTTCCCGACTAAAACAAGCCTGGAAGCAGAAGCGGCATCCACTTCCAAAATGGCTTGCCTCCGGAAACTCTATGTACGACCAGTGCTCAGGCTGTTCATTCATAGGGTCGCTATGAGTCGTCTACAACTTGATGGCACCAAACAACAACACAACATCCAGCTTTTATATTCTTTTATGAAATTACCTTGAGAAAAAATTAGCACTCCTCTCCCCACTTTCTGTCCCTCTTCTCAGTGGGACATTTCAACCTAATTTATATCACAAGGACATTTTCTGTTTTTACAGTGAAGGAAACAGAAACACTGTTGGTATTGTCTGGGAGGAAGTGAGGTAGAATTTCATATTTTAGACTTTGAGTCTCTCAAATTATGCCAACCACTCCTCTCTTCATGATACATGTTTTAACCCACATTTTATTTCTAATTATTTACACCCAAGTTAAGAGTAAATTACATGGATATCCTGGGGAAGGGATTTTTTTGTCAGTCAGCAATGTGACACATTTGCGTCACATTTGGCCACTGTATATTCCTGTCCTAGTGATGTCCCACACGGCAGGAACAAGTCAGCAGTGTCCAGGGTAACTTGTGACCTGTGAGGCACCAAAGCCACCTACCAGCTGCAGTCAAGTTGACTACTATTCAGGGTGACCCCAGGGATGTCAGAACTTTGCGCCACAGAATTGTCACCGACTCACTTGTTTTTCCCCCAGAATAGATCTCCAGGTCTTTTTTCCAAGTATATTAGAGCTTAGCTTTTGATGCCCTGTAGGCTGGTGTCTGAAGTCTAAGTGTAAGATCCTTTACTCTATTTTCATTCTTGACATAGCTCAGACCTTATTTGACTCTTTCCTGACTTGTAAACCAGCTATGGTGGCTGTCCCCTTAGGAAGAACACAGCTGAAAGTAGATGACAACTGCCAGGCAAGATGTGTTGTTTTAAGTGTTGTTGAGTCAAGGATGACTCAATGTTGTGACCCTATGAACAAGAGATCTGAACCCTGTCTTACCCTACACCGTCTTTGTCATGCTTGACATTTTTGTGTCCATTTGGCCACTGTTTCAGTCCATCTTGTTGAGGGTCTTCCTTTCCTTTGCTGGCCCTTGCTCTTTACAAGCATGATATCCTTTCCTTTCCAAGGGACTAGTGAGGACAGTTTGCCCTTGTGGCCTGTGGGAAGAAACAAGAAATTCGCCTAGGTGTGTCCTTAATGATTTACTGAGAATAATCTACACCTCTGACCGCCATGTACTGGAAACCCTGGAATCAATCTTGTAACATTTTTCATTGACACTCATCCCAATCACGGTCTTTTTGCCCACTTCTGTAGGCCCATCTGCAGCTCTGATGAGGCGTAACTGCTACCAAGTATGATTTTGTCTCCATCTAAATGAAAGCCATGGCCATTCCTCACTAGAGCACCTTCAGCACCATGCTGATGGTTCTCCTTCCAGAATGATTTGCCTTGTTCTGCCCTTATCTTAAACGGGCCTTTATAGCATATGTTTGAATCTAGGCTGTCTTTTTTTCTCCTAGAACAGAAAGCAGCTTTGGGTAGACTTAAACCTCTAACCTTTCCTTTTAGCAGCCAAACACATAAACCATTTGCCACCCAGGGACTCCAGAGCACCCTAAAGTTGACCATTTTCCTGAGTCAGATGTGCCCTTGTGTCTCAGTACATCCTTTTCAGCAGCTCAGCCTCCAGAGGCCAAGCAGTTCCATTGTTGTTGTTGTTGTTATGTGCTGTCAAGTTGCTTGTGACTCATAGCGACCCTATGTACAACAGCCCTAAACCCTGCTCTATCCCTTGCCAATCTTATTGTCTCCAACACACCTATCCCCATTATCCAAGTGACTGACTCAATCCATCTCATCGACAGTCTTCCTCTCCTGTGCAGTCCCCCACCCTCCCAAGAGTGACGTTCCTCTCCAAGGACTGGTGCCTCTTGCAACATACCCAAAGTATGTCAAACAAAGCTTCAGAATCCTTGCCTCCAAGGAGCAGCCTGGCTTCACCCTCTCCAGGATGAACTTGTGCTCCTAGCAGTCCATGGTACATTCAATACTCTTTTTCCAGCACCAAAGCTCAAAGGCATCAATTCTCCTATCATCACTAGTCATTGTCCAGCTCTTTGATGCATAGCAAGTAATGGCAAAGACCATGGCCTGAATCAGGTGCACCTTAGTCTCCAGACTGGCATAGTTACTGCTCAGTACCTTGGAGAGGTCTCTGAGAGCAGACTTGCCCAATGAAGTTCATCTTTTAATTTTCTGGCTGCTGGCACCAAGTTCTAGTTGTTGTTGTTTTTATGTGCCATCAAGTCTCTTGTGACTCATAGCAACCCTATGTATAAGAGCCTTAAACCCAGCTCTATCCTTTGCCAACCTCACCGTCTCCAATACACTCACACTCCCACAACCCCAATCACAGAATCGATCCATCTCATCGAGGGTCTTCCTCTCCTTCGCTGCCCCTCCACTCTCCCAAACATGATGACTCTCTCCAAGGACCAGTCCCTCCTTGCAACATGCCCAAAGTATGTCAGAAGAAGTTTCATAATCCTTGACTCCAAGGAGCAGCCCGGCTTCACCCTCTCCAGGACAAACCTGTTTGTTATCCTAGCAGTCCATGGTATATTCAACACTCTTCTCCAGCACCACAGCCCAAAGGCATCAGTTCTCTTTCTATCATCCCTAGTCACTGTCCAATTCTCTGATGCATAGCACGTAACTGCAAAGACTATAGCCCGGATCAGGCGCCACTTAGTCTCCAGCCTGACGTCGTTGCTCTTCAGTACTCTGGAGAGGTCCCTGACAGCTAGCTGACTTTCCCAATGCAATTAGTCTCTTGATTTCCTGGCTGCTGTTACCAAGAATGTTGACTGTGGAGCCAAGCAAACTAAAATG